TTAGGCAGAGTGTTGCCAGCAGGTCGAGGGAGGTGATCCTGCCCCTCTCCTCAGCCCTGGGGAGGCCTCCCCTGGAGTACTGTGTCCAGTTCTGGGCTCCCCAGTACAAGAGAGACATGGCACTCCTGGAGCGAGTCCAGCAGAGGGCTACAAAGATGATGAAGGGACTGGAGCATCTCTCATACAAGCAGAGGCTGAGAGAGCTGGGCCTGTTTAGCCTGGAGAAGAGAAGGCTCAGGGGGGGATCTGATCCATGTGCATAAGTATCTGAAGGGAGGGTGTCAAGAGGATGAAGCCAGCCTCTTCTCCGTGGTGCCCAGCAACAGGACAAGAGGCAACAGGCACAAACTGAACCACAGGAAATTCCATCTGAACATGAGGACAAACTTCTTTCCTGTGAGGGTGACTGAGCACTGGAACAGGTTGCCCAGAGAGGTAGCGGAGTCTCCTTCCCTGGAGATATTCAAAAGCCATCTGAACACAATCCTGGACAATGTGCTCTAGGTGGCCCTGCTTGAGCAGGGGGGTTGGACTAGATGATCTCCGGAGGTCCCTTCCAACCTCAACCGTTCTGTGATTCTGTGATTTATTTCAGGTAAGTTTATTTCAAGTATAGCCAAGTCTACAAGTCTAGATTCAAGGAGACTGAGGGCACGTACAGTGGTCCCTGACCAAAGGGGAAAACCTGGTAGCAAGCTAGCTATGTCTTCAGAGCTCAGCTCCAAAGCCAGTGAGTCCTCCTGGAAGGCCTGGCTGCTACCTTACACAATTCTGCACAGTGCTGCTCTGAGTACGTGAACATGGTGACCTGTTGAGACAGCCTGTGCTGTGGTTTGTGAAACTGTTTCCATGTATTTACTTCTACCCTGAAAACATAAGTTCACCTTCAGATCTTGACAACCACTTCTCACTTGGCTGTCTCCTGTAGCTGCCTAGAATCACCTGTGCCTCAGTTACTGATAGGATAACTCCTTAGATCTAGCATTTTTCATGTGGATTACTTGTTTGGGTGTGGTATGCTTTTAGACCACAGAAAATGCACTGAATATGGCAGTTTTTATTTACCTAGGCAAGCTGCATCAGCCTGCTTCTAACACCGTATTAAAAAATGCTTGTTGACCAGTCAAAAGTGCAGAAAAGGGTCGGGTTCACACAGCACTATTGACCAATTACACCCATGCAACTTCCCGACCTGAGTGGACCACACGGAAATAAGGTACATAAGACAGCGAATCAGACCCATCATCTCCAGCAGTACCATTTCCCCTAGAAACAAGCACAGATGTGCATGGGAAACATTATGGAGTCAATCTGTAACTCAAACAAGATCCATAACCTCCTCAACAGACTGCATTTTTCACCTTCTATTCATCTCTTGTTGAGACTCATTCAGTGAAGCTGACTCCTACCCTTTCATTGACTGATTTCTATTCTGTGTGAATACCTCTCTTTGGATTAACAGCAACACTTTGAAATACTTAATACAGATCTCATTCTATTTGCTTTCAGCAAATCCCCAATTCTTTGCTGTAGCAAAGCACTAATTCTTACATCCACTTTATGTCCAATTTCTTTGTAGGCATAACGTCCATGTTGCTGATCCATATGTCCTAACTGGCTATAGTTATTTGTGCCAAACACATCCCTGAGATTAGGCCATTAAAATTCTCAGTCAGAGCATTAGGCTTGTCTTCATAACAGGTGTTGTTTAACTATTGTTGTTGCTGTAATGGTTTGATTAGCTGAAGGATGTAAAGGTTTTCTTTTCTTATCAGATTGAAGCACTCTTGGAGAGGTTTCAACAGATGACTTTTCTAAGGAATGAGAGCAGCTATGTCATTCTCATACACAACCAGTTCCATGAAGAAAACGGAGACTGCTTTAGTCTGACATGTGCCAGCTGATTAGCTGGGGGTTACCTTGCCAGAAATAAATCGTCTGCTGAAATCACTCCCTAGATAATGTGACTTCATGGAAACAGTAGATTCATAGAGATTAAGGCCAAAAGATGTCAATACATCATCTTTTCTTGCCTCGTACGATTCACTGTGTTGTGCCCCCAAGTTACGTTTGGCTACACAGTGTCTTCCAAGACAGTCTGGAACAGGTGAAGAAATAAACTTTCCCCATTGTCACTTTTCTCCAACAATTAAACAGGCTTAGCGTGAACACATAGCCCTCTGTTGTGCTTTCTTCTCCCACGTTACAGGGCCTGTTAACAATCATCATTTTCTCCTTGTGAGGATATTGAACAGGCTGCAATCAAGTAACTTCTCAACCTTCTGTCTGATAAGCAAAGTTGATTGAACTTTTTCATTTTCTCATCACAATACACGTATCTTTATTAACATAGAGTTATTTCAAACTGGTCCAACTTCCTGCATTCAGGACTACGCCATATGACTGCCCACACAATATTAGTGCTGTTCTAGAACACCCCAGCTATTTCAAAACACATTTCTAATTACAGTAGCTAACCAGAGATATTAGCCAGCTTGTTAAGACTATAATAGGCTCAGAATTTAAAAAAAAAAAAAATGTATATATTGGTTACCATTTTCTTTAGTTAACAATGAAGTAGAAAGTACCTCACCATTCTACTCGTTACCAGAAGCAGAATAGTGATATTGATCCACAGCACCTTTCTGCCTCAGCATTAATGTTTTCAATATGTCATGCATTATGGGCCCTTACCCGTGTGCGCGCACGCGTGTGTGTGTCTGTCTGTGTGGATTTCTTTGTATTCCACATTTACTTTAACAAAGTAATTCACATTATCCTTAGTCTGGACAAACATAGATTTCTTTCCTATCCCACTGGATTAAACTTTCCATATAAATTTTCAGTACACTATTCATTCTATATTTTCTTTTCTTCTTTGAAGAGTTACACAACAATAGCATTTTTTTGAATTCTCAAGTACTCTGAAATACATTCAGAAACAGTGGGAGGGAAATCTTCTCCGCTATTTCTTCTTTCATCTGTTTGCTACGTACTGATTTTTTGTTTTCTTGTTTCTACATCCTCTCTTCACTTCAAACTGGAACCCAGATGGGCTTTCAGCTAAAATTGTCCTTTTGCTTCATTGCGGTTCTTTGGCCCTATAAAAAGATCTTCTTAAATAATTCTTGATTCCCATTCCCATTTATTTCCTACCTGAGCGTTTCCTCCTCATACATTCTGAGACTGATAGAATTGCCTGGATGCAAGATGATTTGGCTAGTGATAATTTACTTAGAGATACATTTAATGCACTTAGCTAAGATAGCTTCGCTACAGACAAAACTTATTAATGTTTTATCTTCTTGGCAGTCGCTGTTAGCCAGGCTAGAGGTAGTTACTCAAGGATATTTGTTTCCATCAAGAAAATGGCTAAAAACAAAATCTCATAATGATTACTTTAAATGTAAATGTTCGTTCATTGTAGACAGAAGAACGAGCTGACCTTTGCTAAGTACAATTTTCTACAGTTGCAGCTGAGTAGTATAGGTGCAATTGAAGGCAGGCTTTGCAGGCTGTGGGGTATTCCTTCCCTGTGTATTTAAATATTCCTTTTCATAGGCTTTTTCTGAGCTTAGTGACTCAATTTGTCAATAGCAATATTCCACAAAGCATCAGGTTGGCCTGTGCCTGGAGGCTCAAAAAGCCCCCAGGAAAATGAGGTGTGCATGTGTACAGAAGAAATAGCCTTGCTTTTTTTGTTTGCCAATACTTGTCAATAGCTTTCAGAACTAAGCCAAAATACACAACTGACAGAGTTTCTTATTGGCTGCATCCAAAATACAATTATCTGAGTGAGAAGAGAATTAGTGTGTGTTGTCATGGGCAAAAGATAAAAAAAATACCTTGACCTAGAGACTTATTGCCCTGTACCCTCATCCAGGCTATGATGAGTGATTATCCTGTGCTTGGGTGAAAATGCTCTGGGTGATCCCCGTCTGTAGTAAACTGATTTTCACCTTTCCATCCTTCTTTTTAAATGAACTATTTTGACTTCTGCTACTACCAATAATTAAAGTTCCCAGGATGAAAGACACTGTAGAAATGTAAAGCACTCTATAAATGTTAGTTAAGCCCCACAACACAGTACGTATTATTGTATAACATGGACAAGGACTGATTCCTCGCATATAAGGTACTTCAGACTTTCACTTGAGGCATTTTCCAGATTTAACTAGTTTTTACATTCCTTTCTGCAGCATTTTTAACCTTTTCTTTGCAACTTAACTGGACATCTGTCATCTGCAACACCAAAGTACTTAGTTCCTCATCACAGTCACAAGAAAAAATGTCAGTTGCGTGTGTAGGTGTATGTGGGAGCGTAATTATGAAAATATTCATTATGATTTAGCTTAAATAAGAGGCCTTACTGAAACTCTGGTACCTCTCAATATTGGTATACTTGTTCACCAGCTCTCTGAGCCATGTTTAGCTTTAACATATAGTGCTGCTCAAATAAACTGCTGTTTTAATGTGATCTTGTGTAAAATTCTATAGCATCTGTCAAGCTATTTCAAAATGTAAATAAGCAGTTGTCCTATGAATCTATCCTAAAAACCATCACAATAGGCTTTTAAACCTATTTCATGGCCTATTTATACAAAAGGCCACAATGCCTAACACTGACCAACAAGGAGCCCCATTTGGGGAACCAAGCTCTACTCGCATTCAAATTAACAAACAAGCTACCACTGAAACCCAGTGGGAGCTGGGTCAGGAAACCTATATGCCACAAGACTGAGAAAACTAAGAAAAAAAAATCAGAAATCTATAAAATACCAAAACCGGGAACAAACATAAATTTCAAATGAGGAAGGCTTTTTTCTTCAGATACAGTTTTCACAGTTCGTAACAGAATGGCAAGTACAGTTAGTCTAGACTTTGCTCAAGTCCCAGATCTTTGGTCCCTCCAACATTCTGGGAGAACCTATTTCTCATAGCAGACTTAGTTTCTCATGGAGTATCTAGAATCTAGGACCAGTGATGTGCTTGCCTGACCTAAAGGAAAGCTAAAACCAGCTCACTGCTTCCTGGGTTGTTAAAGGTAAAACAGAAATCAGACCTTCATTTAAAAATAGCAAGCAGAAGCAGTCTTCTGTAAAATCATCATGCAGATCTCGACAAAATTAATTGCAATTATGTAATTATATAGCTATCCACTTGTTGGTGAAGAAGGGAAAACATAATCACATTCCGATAGCTTTTTAAAAGCCACCACCGTGCATAAAACACAAAATACTATCCCATTTCTCTGCTCCGGTGCCCTCTTTATTGCTATTCCTGTTTGAAACATGCAAACCCTGAAAAGTTCACAGGCAACGAAGAGAGACTGACTTGCTGTTTGCATCACTCCCACAGAGTTATTTCCCTTGCGAGCATGTGTAGAAGGGGATAAAATCCAAATAGAACATGCATACACAACCATATCTGCTATAAAACTATTAAGCACTAGGCTATTTTTAGCCAAGGATTTCAATTACAAATGACCTCTCCATTGCAGCCTCGCGATTTCCCCTCCCCCAGCAAGTAGTACAGCAAGCCTGTTTGGGTAGTGATACTCTCCCTTGTGCGAGAAAGCACCATTTAAAGCAACAGACAAAAGAATCTCTGTGCATATGACCAAGAATTGAGTAATCTGCCAGAACGGGGTGGGTGGTAATTACTGGCTGCGTACTTAGCGAGTGTGAACTACTACTTTGTTTTCTGCTTTTGTCTTAACACAGTTTTAAGGCACGGAAACAATTTGAGGTAGGAATTACAGGTGCTACCACGTGCAGGTCATACACGATCAACAGCAGAGATGATGTGCTGCCCTAACGTAAATGATCAGTAATACTAGATAAGGCCTGAAGTGCAAATAAAATACTTTAGAAGACCACTCTAAGCTAACTGCTCTATATAACCTTTTATTTTGGTTAGAATAATAATTCTGTGCTTTTGGCAAGTCCTTCCCTTTAAATTTCAGTTACAAATGGGCAAAATATGGGCAAATTAAACAGCCCTGAATTCAGTAAAAAGCTATTGAAAAATAAAAACAAAATGTCTACATCAGACTGAAATAAGCAATTCAAGACATTTTTAACAAACTCTTTCTCGTTTCTCCAGTGGAGAAGCCTACTGAAAGACACGCATAGAGTGGGAGAAAACACATCTAATCCTGAGGCTGAGGAAAGACAGAAACACCACCGATAGTCCCAGATGCTTGCAAAAATATGTATGTTAAAAAATAAAGTATGCAAAAATAAAGTATGTTAAAGCATCATCCTTAGGGGGGAAAAGGGGATCAAAGGCTTCTGCTTTAGAGATCAAAATCTTGCATTCATAATATTTTATTATGTTTAATTTCAACCACACTTGAAGGAAAAACAGCTATTAAATTCTTTCAGTAACTATGTGTATTGACAAAATGAATTAGGCTTGTATTGTATCATGCATTTATATCATTCCATCACGGAACAGCAGTGTCACCTTTGCAATGCTTAAGCAAGTTTAAAGTAACACCTGACTTTTATTATTCTTCATATGTAAAAGTATTGCTGTTGCTTGACATGTCCCCTAAAAATACAGAAGGTACTCCTGATTTGACAAGAAAATTACTTAACAAATTGCACAGTTAAAGCTGATCGTGTTCCTGAACTACAAGGCATGAAAAGTTTAAACCTCTAGAAAAAAAATTGTCTGAAATAAAATGCTCTCAAACAGAAAACACGTTAAAAAAATCAGACACATTCCACGTATTTAGAGGTTATGTCTAGAACAAAGTATCTCAGAAAGTTCAACTAAAAATTGGATTTTGAAACTTTTGTTTTATATTTAACTTGTGAAGGTCATAACTTTGTGTGAAAACCGATGACAACAGAAATATCTTATTTATGAATTAACAAAATGGAGGAGCTAGAAACTTCTGTGCCAACATTAATTAGCAGTGAGCTACTCCATTTTTCTGGTTTGCTTCAATTTAAATGTAAATTTTACAGAATTTTCCATTTTAATAACTTTTGAATGCTTACTTCCAAATAAGTGAAAGAAGACTCTACTAGACTTTTTCTAAGATGAAAAAAATCTCAGTCTCATATTAACTCTACTTATAACATAGCAGCAGCTCCAGGGAATAGATTCTGCTGGTGGGAAAAGTAAGAAGGGAGATCCACAGTTTTTGAACTGCTGATAAGCCAGAGAGGAAAAGGGTAGAGGTGAGGTGCAGGGTGAACTTCAAAGAGAGATGTTTTATGAAGCCTCAGAATGTCTGGTCAACATTAGAATCAAGGTAAGATTTTAGCTTCAGTGTATACACTCAATTCAACTTCACATGAGTAATACTATTAGAAGTATAACAATGGCAACTTAGAGATCTATGAGGATTTCAACATCTACTCAAGAAGGTGATGGACTAGGGCAACTGTATCATGTTCTTCCTTCATCAGATGGGTGTCCTAGCTCAGACGCTCTGTCCCATCAACGGTATGCTACCTATGCCCTGCTCCCCGAACTACAGCGCGTTTGGGGCTACAAGACTCACACAACTGAACAGATACGGGGCAGCGTTAACATACTGAAGTCCAGTGTAAGAGGCCACTAGGCACATAAAATGGTGAAACATCCATCTAGAGAACAAGTCGCAAAATGATATGTCTCAGCATTATTTGCATACCCAATGTTAGGGCTGCATTTAGTCACTACCTGGTGACTTTTTGGCCAAGCTACTAAGTCAAGAGGCAACAGGAAGAGTTAATATCATTAGCTTGAATTTCTTGGCTTATGCTGTTTACAGGATAGTTTTAAAGGAAAATTCTTGTGTGGAAAAAGTAAGAAGTTTCATTGACATAGACATGAAATGGACAAGTACATATATTAAGAGGATTAATTACACCCAGATTTATGCACATATTAATTATCATCAATGCACAGAGATGTTTCCAAAATTAACAAAAGGAAGGATTAGGGTTTTGAGGCAGTGGAAAGTCAAACAATCAAGGAGACTAAACTTCTCAATCTTAATGAACCGTGACTAAGCAGAAGACTACTTACCTTCCACGCAAGAGGGCTGAGCCCTTGTTGTACCAGCCACCTGCCCTGGGAAGCAGGAGCACTTGACTGTTTGTGACCGTTCTTCAATTCGGTTCTTATTGCAGCAACGATGTACTGCCACAACTTCACACGTCCCTTGCTTGACTTGGTGCTGGCCTAATAATTGCAGAGATAAGGGTTGGAGAGCAAAACAAAACCAGTGCATAAATAAAAGGCCAGTTTGCATAGTCCTACAACACACCAAGTCTCTTGAACACCCACTGAAGTCCCAGGAAGATGAAGGGGCAAAGCACCTCGTAGGACCTGGCTTATTCCATGAATTTTTTCTGATTCTTACTAACAAAAGATTAATTCATCATAACAAGCCAATTTTTCCACCTATCTTCCCCAGGCTTTATAAAGCCATAGGGAGAAAAGGAGACTGAACCAGGCAACTGGAAGAATTAGGCAAAAAGACATGCAGAGACAGAGCACGCATATCCTTCCTTTGGCTTCCTGTCTTGCATCAGGTTTTGTATTCAAGTTCTTTCCCTTCATAAATAGACATAATGGACAGGATAACATTTAATGCAAGGGAGAGTTAGCTAAGGTAATAGGGAAACTTTCTAACATAACAACATGTAAGCACTTCTTGCTATGTCCATCATTTCAGGTTCCTAAGAACAAGGTGGGCTGAAAAACTATCACAGTCAGGTGTTGTCAAAAAAAGAACAAACTATCTGAATTTTTTGAGATCCTTCCCAGCTCATTTTGAAGAAACCTGTGATAAATGTTCAGTCATACTGCCTTCCTCTCAAGAGTCTTTCCTCACACTTCAGTGCCCCCTATTTCTCTGCGTTTATTCTTCTCTTCATCTCTTTTCCCCACTCCTGTCTTCATATCTTGACTACACCATTCCCTGCACTTGACCAGCTTCCTCCACCGACAGATTCACCCTCTCCCCTGCCTAAAATCTTTCCTCAGAACCCCCACTTCACAAAACCTCTCTCCTCTTCTCATAAATCATTTCCACATCCTCACTTTGCTGAACTGCCTTGAAGTACTTCATCTTGCATTTGTCTTGTCTTATTTACAGTAGGCCTTGGATGGCTCTCATCTGTGTTTGTAAAGTGCCTTGTAAATTAATAGCACTACAGAAATGGCTGGGGTTTTTCCCCCTTTTTTTTTTTTTTTTTTTAAAAATAAGTGAGCTAGATAGAGAGGCAACACTGAGAATAATAAAGTATTCACCCTCAAAGCCATACAGGCCCCTTATATGAGAAGGGACTAAGGTGCAGATAGTGTAGATGGGTATGTAATATCAAAGGAAGAGGAGAATAAAGAAAGGAAAGCGAAAGGGAGAGCACTGTTCAGAAAAAGATACAGCAAAACAAGTAACACAAGCTTGGAGGATTGTCCTGCTTGTCCTACTCACTCTGTGTTTGCCCTGTTACCTGTTACTGACTGACACCAGGCAGGATTCTGAGACAGAGAACAGCTTGGTCTGATACAAAGTGGCCAGACTTGCATGCTTACAGAAGCCATTGAGATTACTATACTTTTGGAGCAGGAATTTTTATGAGTTTATTAAATGGGAATTCTCAACCTTCAGTAGAATGAGCAATGCAATTTAGGCTTCTAAGAAAGTTTTCCAAAAAAATGCGTGTATTAAAAAAATCTTATATATTTTAAAGGTTGGCTTGGCAACACTCCTTTGCTGTGCGTGTTTTGGTTTCAGAAGTATTTCAAATACAGCTAGCGAGATGCCTCACTTTTGTTGCCAAATCTGTATTCACAACAACTTCAATGGACAGAAAACTATGTATATACAATCTTGGAAAGCAAATTTAGTCCTCTGTGAGTGCAGTCAAAATGTAAAGAAATTATATATACAGAGGCATGTCTTTTTTCTGAGGAAAAAAGCTACACTGTACTTTTAAACAAAATATGCTACAGCAGGAAAAAGTATAAGGGGATTCTTCCTAAGAGTAACAGTTGCTTTCTGGAGAAAGAGATGAAAGCTGCTTTTAGATTAAAGTCTATACACAATCTTCTAAGCTCAAAGTTTCAGCAAAGCATTTCTCTGCTACCATTCCATTATCCATTGACTTTTTTTTTTTGTTTTACAATCATTTCACATTCATTTCAAGGTCCTGACTTAGATTCTCTCATTTCTCAAGAATACACAATATTTATATATATACGCTTTCTCAAGAATTGTCTCTGAAAGTAAAATTCAGTCCAGTTTCACTTGTTACAAACTCCCATTTCACTTTTTGGCAGTAAAGAACTGTTCAGAGATAGTCAAGAACTGGCAAAAAGGTCCTATCGGCTGCTCTCTGGATACATAGGTACAAATACATATATATATATATAAAATATATATATATGTTCTCATATATATATAGCAGTGTTGTGATTGTGATTACTAAAGCTAACAGCTATAATAAAGCAAAGATACAATGATCTCACGAGTTAAGAAATTGATTTTGATGCTCACACAACGTGCAGGTACCCAACAAAAGAGTTTCCTCACGGTCCGCAACATTACATTGTTCCAGTGAATGTTTTTGTATTTCACAGATTATGGACGTCAGTAGTATGGCATAGGCAGAATCCCAATCAGCATTGTAACTGTATAACCAAAGAACCAGTGCTGAACCATTTAACTTGTTTTAAGCAAGAAGTGACAACCTGAAGAAACAACTCTCAAATAAGCAACCAATTTGAGAGGAACCCTAGGTGCACAGAAAATCTCGATGTGTATTTGCAAGGAAGGTGAGTGACCTCAAACGCTCATAATGAGAGACCCAAATAGTTTAAAAAAGTGAAAAGCATAACCTTTCATATGTGCAGGTGGAGGAACATGCTGACACAGCTGGAGTGAATCATGTAATACAGTGAATTCTTTGGCAAGTGTCAGAGGTCACAACCATATGGAGATTAAAGTCCCCTGGAATAAGTAGTGTAGGTGACCTTAGATCAGACGTAAGCACTGAGACTTCTCCAAGGAATAAAGCATTAACTCTGAGTGGTCAATAAATCAAAATAGCTGAAATAGAAGTAGGTGCTACAAATGCAGGGGGAAGCAAAAGTTGCTGCAAATGAAAGAGGTACGTGAAGAGTGGAAGTAGAAAAAGAAATTAAAAGATGAGCCTCTCTACCTGCTGGGGTGCTGATGCGATTAACTGAAATTAATCAATAAGGACTGCCTTTCAGCCAGGCATTAATATTCACCCTGGTTCAAGTACATATCACTTGTACAAATGAAATCTGAAAGCATGAGACTTCATAAAGTATCTTGGAGTAAAGTGGTGCTAATCCTTTCCTGTGGGAAGCGTTCTACTGTATGGCTCATCTCGGTGAGGCAGAGAAAAATACAAGGAAAAGATTCTGCTTTCTATCACATCTTGTAGCAAATGAGCAACGTTCTGCTCTGTAATATAGGAGTATTTCCCACATGTCCCATTAACATTCACTCTCCTTATTACAATGCAGACAACTCTCTTCCTCTCATTTGTTCCTTCCGTCACAAATCTATCATGAGAGAAAGGGAAAAAGAATGAAACTAGTTCCCTAGAGAGGTTTCCACTTGCCTAGAGGAAGCAGCTACATACACATCTCTTTAGGCCAGGCTTAAGGTTATTCAGCAGTTCGTAAGCAAAAAGGAAATTTGCCTCCCTAGTCGTGAGGGGTGACGACATCTCAAAAGAGACTCGTGCCATGGGAAGGTGAAAGTAGCATAGGTGAGACTGCAAAATGGGAAGGACTATCCCAACCACATCCATAACCAGCTCCTCTTTTCCAGCAGGAGTCATCCTGATCAAGACATTTCTCATGCAGACCAAGCAGCCATCAGGGCCTGGGTCAGCTTGCTGCCCCCAGCAGCTTGCTACCATTTGCAGCTGCCCACATTACTATACCTAAAGTCAGCACTGTCCTTGTACTACTTATTAATTCATATTCATGGCACGCCAAAAGTGTCTTTGAAGTTATCACAAACTTTAAGAAAAAAAAAATCATTTTTTGTTTCACATCTGCAACACAATGAATTTTGAGGATTAAGCCTTGGGCATACCTTCATCACCTGAACTATCCAATGTTCAGCTTGGGTTTAGGTGTGCAAAACAAATGCCTGTAATCTACTTAATTCCAGATGTATTTTCAACCCAGTTCAAGGTCATCCATCAGACATGAATGATATTTGTTCAGAGAATATGAAATGGCAGTTGTCAGCTAAGACATTAGCCTTTGTAAATTAAGTAAACGGCACTTTTCAGAAAAAAAGTAGATGTTTGGGAGAGAAGTATTTCTTTCATTTCAAATAGAAATTAAATCTTTATCCTCATGTATAAGGGGTAGAACTGAGGGAACCTGCAAAATTTCTTTCATAGAAATTGGTCAAACTTACAAGGTGTGGAGAGCTTGTACCTTTTTTTTTAGTTCCTAAAACACAAAGGTGTCTCTCACTCTTTCAATGAAAAGACTTTTATAGGACTGTGAAGTAATAGGACTCTGTCTGAATTCGGTGGTTAGAGGTAAGCAAACTAAAAATTATTCATTATTTAATCTTCATTTGAGAATCTGCTCAAGAACGATCCAGCAATAACTGTTGCTATTAAATGGTGTAGTTTATGAAAGTTTTTCTGTTACCATTTCCTGTTCGATAATCTTATTTTAAAAGACTAGCTTTGGCAATGAATCTCGCTTCCCATTAATTGGGCTGTTTATTACAATCATGTAGCGATATTTGTTGCTACTAGAAGAACTGGCTCTTGCAAAAACCAGGACCAGTAGATAAGACTGAATTTGAATGATACTTTTGATTGCTGAAGTGAAATGAAATTTTAATGTGATAGGCAAATCAGGCAATGGAATTCGGAGGACTGTTACGAGCAATTAGACTGGTTAAGGCACTGGGAATCGGGCCATCAGCTCCTCAGCTGGTCTTCAATCCCTAGAAAAGTCTCTATGCTTTCATCATCACTGATTAATTATTTTCAGACTGTGCCTCATTTTATATCAGGTTTTATATAGCTGTAATGGTTATCTTGGGTTTATTCCGATGAAATCGACACAGAAAGCGTCGCAGCCGTTCAAGTATAAGATCCAACTGCCAGTTAAGCAATAACAGGTCATAAAACTAAATTGCACAAATGCATTTTTAATTCTGAGTG